TACTGCGTGAGAGCCTGTTCCACACGCATTTTCATACGTTTCATAGTCTCAGGCCACGGTTCGTCGGACACGCGGATCCATCCTTCGATGGACCTAAGCATGCGTCGTAGCACAATATCCAACTTTTGTAACTGCTGTTGCGTCAATGACAGAGTGTGCAACCCATATAATACAGTCGGCGTCACGGTTGCTTAGGGTGCAATTGGAACTTGTCCATGCCACATGTATTTTGTGATTCAATTCGGTGATGTGTCGCTGAAACAAGTTGCCATCCAAATGCCTTCCCAAATACTTATGCACAGAATCGGGCGTGAGAACCTCCACCATGTCGCCGCAGATGTCCAGATACAAAGCCGATTCAACATCAGAAGTTGTGAATACGTTGGTTTTGCGCGGACCCAACTGAAGCCCAATTTTGCCGAGCTCTTGAATAAGACTTTCCATCATGAACACCAGTTCATCGGACGTCTTTGCATACAATGCGATGTCATCTGCATATCTTACATTGGTCAGTCGTTCAGGGAGGCCAACATGCAAACCTTGTGATCTCAATTTAGCTTTCCAGTTCCGAAACGCATGCTCCAACCCAGCGTTGAATAAGCTTGGGCTCAATACATCATCGCCTTGCTTCACTCCGCGTTCGATTCGAAACTGTCGCCCGTCTTTCAAACACCCAGATTGGAAGTGATACAGCGTCCCGAAAAAACGCGGAAACGCCCAGAAAACTTCAAGCAAGAAGCATCGAAACCCTCAAACCAAACCTTAAGCCCCAAACCCTTTGAACCCTGAGTTCGGAAAAAAGAACTGAGCCACCTGAAACCCGGAAACCGTGCCGTCATGGAACATCAGCGAAACGAGTCCCAGGTCGGCACGGACGAAGCAGCAGCGTCTACTGCTGGTCGCCCATCAGTCAGCGAGGACCTCATGCAGCTCTGGCAGGGGGCCTTTGCCGAGCTCGGCCGCAGGCGGCAGCTCGAGGAGGGAGGCGGCGTAGGCGCGCTGGGAAGCGACAGCCAGAAGCCCCGACCAGCGCGAGATCCATAGGCGACAATTGCTAGGGCCTCAACTGTGCGGGGACAGCGGCTGCCCGGTGTCGCACGAGGAGGCGCAGGAGTTGTACGGCTTCGGGACCGAACTTGCCGCCGACAACAACGAGTCGGCAGCGCCGCTGTCCAACTGGGCTAGGAGTTCGGATTTGACAACTTGGGCTGTAAGCGCACGGAGTTTAAGGAATTGCTTTAATTAGGGCAACTCGGGGTGAAGGTTCCAAGGCTTAAGGTCTAGGGTTCCAGGGCTTTGGGTTGAGAGGCTTAGGATGGTTTAGGGTTCCAAAGGCCACGGTTCAGGGTTTGTAAAGTTTAGGTTTTAGCTTTTCGGCTCCCGCATTGCTAATTAGAACGAATGCCAGCATTAGTGCTCTACAGCTTAGGGTTTTAGTTTTACGCGCTGGGACTTCGCTGGCAGTTGGGCGAATGGGGGTTTGACAAGTGCGAAGTTCAAATAGACGACGAGTACACGCAGATGACGATTGACAACAAGGTTGTTCTCAGGCTCAGCGCGGGCGACGACGACCTCAAATATTTATGGGCAGAAGAGTGGGCTCAGTGGGATGAATTTCAGCATAGCAGCGAGCTGGCCGATCTCTCGACGAAGACATCAAATGTTATGCTCAAGCAACAGGCGAAGGGGGCTGGCAAGACGAAGAGCAAAAGCAAAAATATTTAGGGACATCGCCGTTCGAGTCATGATTTTTCACAGTCGCACACTACAGGGGAACCTGTTTGCATGGTGGATACGCCGACAACCACGGAAAACGATTTTCGATCAGCGCATGCGAATTCACATGTTTCCGTTTTCGCGAAGAATGCAAGGTGGTTACATACTCCTGACAGACTTGCGGGGCTCATGGGTGAAATTGCAGATGTTGACTGGGACATTATTTTGTTCAGTGAAACGCATCGGGGAGGAGACCAATGCAAGTTGCAAGACGGTCACATATTTTTTCCATCATCGCAGAGCACAGCTTGCGCTGGTGTCGCGGTGCTTGTGCACAGCAAGCATTGCCGACATGTGAAGCGCGTTTGCTCGATCAGCGATCGCTTGATGTATGTGGATCTGCTTGTAGGTTCTATCACTTGGCGTTTGATTGCGACGTATTTGCCCCATGCAGGATATTCTCATAGAGTTGTGCATGCGTTTTGACGGATTCACAGCAATTGGGGCAAGCAGCCGTTGTTGGAGGCGATTTCAACACACAATTGAAAGTCGGCAAGCGTGGCGAGATGCTGCGTGAACTAACATTCATGTTTGGATTGCATATAGCAAATGATACGACTCACCCTGATGATTGGACATTTTGGAGTTCCACGGGCGTGAAGCGGCAAATTGATTTCGTATTACACAGCCGGAACATCTGCCGTGTGTAGAAACCTGGAGTCGACAGTAATCTAAGATATGATAATGGCACACCTTGGTCAGACAGGGCACGGAAAAGCGAAAAAAACTCAATCCGATCAAAGGCCTTTCGCAGATCAAGGCTTGCGATCCATAGCGGCTCTTTCCATTCAATGCATTTCCCAACCATTGTCTCCAAAACTGCAAAAGCATGATCGACTCCAAGTTTGTTACGAAAGCCCACCTGATCACGGCTTTGTCTTGTATCCAATAATGGGTGAATGCGCCAGTGTATCAACTTGGCAAATATCTTGTACGTAATTCGTAAGACTGCAATAGGCCGCCAGTTCGAAACATCAGCAACATCACCTGGCTTGGGGATCATTTTGAACAATGATTCTTGCCAAGACGGCTCCAAACATTGATCACGCAACATTCGATTGTAGATGCCAACTAAAACCTCATGGAGTGAACGACCTCCGTATTTGAACATCTCTAACACCAGCCCCAAATCGTCCCCACTTTTTACGGGTTCTCATCGACTGTAGTACACTCGTCAGCTCGGAGAGCTTGAAGGGGGGAATGTCGGCAAACGATGTGTCATACTGCATGCCATGGTGTGCTGTCAGATGGTCTCGGCGGTCAAACTTGAAAACATCACTCAAGCTCTTCGTGAAATCTTCAGTGCTTGGCATTTTGCTGTTGTCCACATGCGTACGAAGAATGGGGTCCTGAAATGCTGCATGCATTCGGTCCAAGTCCGTGAAGTCGTCCAAAATTGAATTCAACTTTTTGTTCAGCTTTTGGCGCTGGTATTTGCGCAACGTCGTCCGGATCAGCTTCGACAGAATACGGCGTTCGGACATATTTTTGCAAGCAATCATGCTGCTTCCAAGGTTCAATCGAGACATGGTCATGTTGTAACATGTTGTGGGAAATGGCCACGGAAAGAACAACATGCTCAAGCTCCTCGATGTTCTCAGGCTTCGTCGCTTGCAACTTGTTCTGTAAACATGTCCAATATTCATGTTGGTTTTCTGGCTTCCAACCACGTAATGAACGGTTTGCACCACCTTGTTGTAACTTCCTTTTGCGATGTTGCACTGCCAATTTGCAAATCACAGCACGATGATCTGAACCCAAATCAAGGAGATCTGTTGGCCCAGCAGGATGTTTTAGGGTTTGGGGTTTCTGGTTTGCGGGTTTTTGGGTTGTAGTGGTGTGGGCTTTCTGGGTTCCCTGGAACAATGATTCAGTGGTTTGGGGTTTTTGGGATGCGGCTTTGGAAAGCTTAAAAGTTTTCGTTCTGTGGGTCCAGGGTTTTTGGATGTTTTTGGGCTGTTGGGTTTCGGGTTCCAGCTTCTGGTCTTCTGGTTTCACGGTTTTGCGCCGGTTCAAAACCGCACGTTTGCCTCCAATCGGCTTCGATGTTAGCTCGCGGACCACTGTACGGGATCAAAACCGCGCAAGCGGGAGGTTAGAAGATCAACCTGGCAACCGGTGGGCTTTAGCCCGTGTCTGCACATTTCTTGCATTTCGCAGTTTGTCAAATGCTGCGTTCCACCAAATGAAAGCCGCGTTTCTCCCCCGTCGCCGGCCCAAAATTACATGTGAGGTCTAGGCTACCGATGCAGCCGCTATTGGACCGGAAGGATTTTTAAAAAACCTCACGAAGGTTTCCGGGAAGAACTGCAATGGAACCAGGTGAAACTGCCAACACAAAAATTTGCGTCTTCATGGAAGAAGTGCGAGCTCGAAGCCTACGTTCCAAAAAAATGCCGGAGTGAACACATCACCTTGCTTGACTCGATGCCCGGATAGAAAAACAGGGCCGCAAGGCAGCTCAGGACTGCACCATCGTGGCCCGCCGCATAGCCGCATGTGCTCTCCAGTGGGGGGGTGCAAAAGGCATGTTGCGTACGAAACCAAGAATTTTCGTTTTTCAGGCGTTCATTAAAATCCGGCACACAAGTATTGCGAGGCCGCGACATGCAGCAGACGAAGACGCTAAACCGACGTTGGCTTGCGAATCCGAATGGCAGATTCGCTTGCTGCCTCGCCCGTCGTGGGCGCCGCGCGGACCGTCCGACTAGCCCGGACGGCTTCGGCTTTGGCAGGAGGTGTGCCCGGATGCGAAGCAGGCAGGAGCAAACAACAACAAGAGTTTCCGCCCTGGCAGCCGGTGACCAGCAGGTTTGGGACAGTTGGACCTCGCGGGTGCTGCGGGCCCCAACGCCCTCCTCCAAGATTGCGTGCACCACGAGTGATATTTCGAGGTCTCGTAGTCGACCCTGCGACGCTTGGGGTTTGGCAGACGCACAAAAGCATGTAACATTCATGGGACATTGTACAACATGTACAAGTATGATGAAAAACTTGTCGATGATACTTATGTTACTCCTCCGAAACTGAAACCTTAGAATTATAGTTGGAAATGGAGCAGCAGTGCAACTACGCGGCGACGTTGCAGAAGGAGTGGGCATTGCAGGGAGAGGGAGAGGGAGAGGGAGGCAGAGGGAGGCGAGGGCAGAGGCATTGCGCACTGTTTCGGCTCGAACACACACGGCTGCACAGGGCGCCTCGTCGCAGGCGGTTGAGACAACAACATGGCGGCCAAGGCAGGGCGCCTCCCTGCAGCGTTGGCGCTGGTGGCGCTGTTGGTGCCGTTGGCGCTTGTGTTGAGGTGGCTGCTGTGTTTATATGCATGACTTCCTTGGGACAATCGTTTCTCCAGATTTTTGTGTTGATAGGCCGAGTGGTGACACCTTCGTTGGGACATCCTTGCGGGTGCGGCCGGAGGCAGGTAAGCATGATCCACCAACAGTTTTTGCCACGGAGTGTGTGAAATGCCATCTACTGTAATTAGGCCCCGAGGGCCGTGCGCCGAGCGGAAGCAGACAAAGAGGCAGGAATAAACCTAAGTCGATTGAACACCTTGTTGCCACTCTCGTTGCTACCCGGCCATCCGATGTTTCCAGGCATTGGCCTAGTCCTGAGCCGGGAGATCACATGCTGTGTCCACATTGCAGAGCCGGAGATTGGTTTCGCATGTTAAGGACGACGACGAAGAGGACGAAGAGGACTTCGAAGAGGAATACGATGATGAGGACGATGAGGCAATTTGCGACATGAAGTTACATGCCGGTGTGATTTTGACGTTGCTTCTGCTACAGCGGCAGGACGAGTCCAATGCGGCAGCCCGGCGTAATGAAGTCAGCAACTTGTAGATGTTTGTCAGGAGGTTGTGTTGGTCCCTGAGGAATTGAAAGCGGACTACGCATTCGACGAGGTTGCGGAGGGGGACGGACGGTTGATAGTGATGATACATACGGTGTCGGTGGCCACCGCGATAACATGCGATGCAAGCTGAGATGTAGATGACCATGATTGTGGCGAGTGCCTTGCTTATGCTAGAAAAAGTCTTGTTGACCATCCTGCTGATGAGCTTCGGTCTGGATTTTGGGACGACCGGAAACCGAAGATCTGTCTGGCTTGAGGGTGTAAGGATCAAACCGGAAATAATTGAAAAGGAAGACTAAACCTGGGATTCGGCTGAAGTAAACCACACGCCAGCTGATTCCGGGATTCCATTCCCCAAACCCGCCGACATCCGTGGCCACGAATCAATCTGTTGCAACCGCAGGCTGTCACCGAAAACCCACGAACACAGTGCAACATCCGGAAACCACCAACAGGCTTCGCCACGAAGAAGTTGATTGAATTCGGGGAGGTGCCCCCGAAGACCCACCAACAAAAGTCGCCACCGTACGAAAATTTCAGGGTGTGCGGCTGCTTCTGTAACGGTCACTAGCAAGCCTCAACTTCGCCACTTTTGCGGTGGCGATTGACCGGGCCGACGACCACAAACTAGAGCAGGACCGTTCGCTGCGCGGGAAGCTGAAAGTGAAGGATGCATGGTGAGGTGCTGTCTCTGCTCGTGCTGCAGCTGGTGACAGGATGGTGGGATGCTGATCACTGCAGTAAAGGTGGTCATGGCGAAGGTGATGGGCACTGGTGTTGGGGTTGCTGCCTAGCTATACAGCCGATGGTGGTTGTCGTGATGGTAGTTTTTCATGTTTGTCAGGAGCCGCCGAAGGCTTGGTACAAACAGCGTCACATTGACCGGCACAAGGCGGCATCTCCTACTGCTTTGTTCCCGTCGGTATTCTTTGCTGTGCCACTTGTCTTGCCAAAGGTCAACATGAAGTTTTTCGACATATACAAGAAGCCCGTGGACTTCTTCCCACACCGGCTTCAGGCCGGTGAGGAAGCCAACGGAATGCTGCAAGAAGCGAATTCGAACCGTCATGAACTGTTACATGCTGCCCCCCGTCATAGGCAGGCGACACTGTGCGCGTGTATTACTTGGAGGCCAAGCCAGGCTCTGGCGACAAGGCACTTCAGAGTCACTACTGTAATCCTTCCGACAGTGTTTCCTGGTGTGAATGTTCTCGAATGGAAACGGTGGCATTGTTCGCGCTTGCTACAACTTGATCGCACATCCCGACACCCGGCCCCACTCCAATTCCCCTCCTTGCTACTGCAGGTGGCATGGCGATGCCTCTTTGGCCCTTTTCTGATAGTGCTTAACTTGCCAAGGTTTTGCCACTTCTAGAGTTGTTCCAAAAGCCTGCGGTCTAATTCCCTGAACCAACAACCGTTTCGGCAGAGCGAAATTGTTTACATGCAAAGTTTGGAAGCACTGCATACTCTGCATGCTTCTGCAGAAGTTGAGATGCCTCGGCGGGTCTTCTCAGCTTGCCTGGTATGCCCAAAGAAGATGTCTTGACAAATCCAAGCCTAGCTTGTGCTAGTGGCGAGGTCGCAAGCAAGTATCGTGACGGCGAATGTTCAGTTCAAAAATCTTTTGCGCTGCATCGTGTCGAATATCCCTTCCGAATTTGATACGAAGACAAGTTCGAGACGGGAGTTGGGTGTATGTTTATGAAAGGTGACCCGTTGCGCTGCTGTTGTTGTATAGCTTGCTGCGATTGTTGTCGCGATCCTAGGTATCCTAGGGCGTGCAATAACCATGGGCTTGGCTTTTGCGGCTTGAGTCGGAAGTGAATGGCAGGGGCCGGCACAAGTCGATGCTCTCAAGCCTTGATTGCCTCAGCATTTCAACTCAGCGTGCAGGAGGTTCGTGGCATCAAGCTGTCCAAAGACCAACTGCGCGAGACCTACTTCGATGGCACGATCCTGAACTTCCGGTCCGTGCCCAAGTCTACGAGAGCAGATAGCAAATTTTTGTAGCGGTCGCAATCACCCTGCTGCTCCATAATCTGTCACCCGCCGACGTTGGCACTTCCGAAACTTACATTCCGTGGCAGCATCGAGGGGGGAGTACCATTCGCGCACGATGACGGTCCGTGCCATGATCGGAAAAGGCTTGTCTTCTGCCGGGAGCTTGACCCCGTTCAGGCTGTGCAGGTCTGACTGCAGGCACACCCCGCACGCTGAGGTCGGCTACGAGTTCCAGTTTCCCATGCATTCGCCACTGATCACAAGGATCCAGGTGATGAGGCGAGGCTTCATTGGCCGCAACAAGAACGCGTGCGCCCAGGGCAGTGATGCGAAAGCGCAGGTGGGCGCTTGTCAATGACACTTGTAGGTACTTCCTGCGTGGGATGGTCGGCAAGCGGAACATTATCCCAATCGACAAGGTCAGCGAAAGACAGACTCTAAAGCAGAATACAAATATTACAAATCTATACAAGCAACAGACAGTTGTTTCTGCTGGAAAGGAACGTACCGAGATGGACAAGAGGCGCAAGCTTGCAGATGTTCGGTATGCTTTGTTTTTCAACAAGAGACACCTGCGGAAGCCAGGTATTCTGATCTCCGGCTTGATGGCCGCGAGGATGAGATCCCGGATCCTGAGTATCCACAGCAAGAGTGGGACACGTGCGCTCGGGTTCGGCATTGCTTTGGCAGCTCCCATCAGCTCCCTGGAGCGATGCAGCATTTCGTGGCAGTGCCACGGTGTGTGTGCGCGCGTGTGTTTTGGGAGGTACCCTCTCCCTGTATGGAAGCAGGACATGGCCTGGAGCCTGAATGCCTGCACTGATGTAATTGCTGCAATAAAATCTTAAGTCTTGATACAGTAGTGGTTCGCCTATTTCTACACATCGGTATTGTTCACATTCTCTCCTCTCCCCACTGTCTATCCCTCCCCCTCTCTCTGTCTCCCTCCCTCCCTCGCTCCCTCTCTCTCACTCGTTTTCTCTCTCGGTGTCTTTTCCGGCTTCGCTACTGCATGAGTCTCAGGCGGACTGGAACGAGGAGGAGTACGACCCGAGCAAGGCTCTACTCGATAAGTTAACTTGCGATGTGCAGCAGCAGCGAAACTTCAACAGGTGGACCAACGAAGCGATTACGAGACCCGCGTCATTGCCAAGTATCGCATGAGGCCCGATCGATGAGCTGCCATATGATGCGATGTCTGTGTGGAACTTGGCTGCCAGGCCGTCCCGAACCGGCAAGTATGGCACCTGAGCTTTTCTTCTCTTCACAACGGAGCACCCAGCCTACCGCCTTACCGTCAGCTCACGTCAAGCTTCTCTTACGCCATAGCTGCTTCTGTGCCAGTACCGTAGCAATCTGCTCCGTGATTTTCCCCGTTTTGGGGGGCACTAGGCTTCCGAAGAGGGAGCAGCGCAACAAGGGCTGATGAAAGAAGTGACCTGTGTGGCTGAGAGCAGCTGTTGACGGAAGGGCGCAACCACACACTCAGATTCTGCTGATTCTATGCGCGTGGTTTCTTCTCGTTTTCTTACTCTTTGTGTGTTTCTCTCTTCTCTGCATCCGATGCCTTCTGTGTCATCTGTTGGATCACCAAAGTAGCCTACACAAGTATGTTAAGCATGGCTAAGAGGTGTGTCAACCAATCTGAAAAAGGGCAGCCTGCAAGGTACATGCAGATCCAGAGGCAATTGTCACCAACCCACCCCGCCCAAACGCATCCCAGTTCACCCCACCTCACTCCACACCAGCCGTGCTCGCGCCTTCTCCTACACCGTTTGCTTTGTTCCGTTTTGCCACGTTGTGCTGAGAGCCAGCCGTCCGGCCGAAATTTGCTGTTTCCCATGGGCCAAAATCTTCGACAACAAGAGAAGCGCAAGGTAAGCAAGAGGTCGGAAGATGGTAGAATCAGAATCAGCAAGGTAGACCAATAGCGCAGTACAACCGAGCTGAGACGCAGTCCTTGCACCTTGTTCACGTTTGCGTCAGATGTTGCAGAACATTCTGACATCGCTGCGTCCTGAACTACGAGCGGGGGAGAGGCAAGCATACTCAGCACTTGCGCATGTTCGATTCCAGACCATCGGTGCCAAAACAGGCTTGTCTTCCAGACCAGCAGGAAGGAAGGTGATTGGTAGCAGGAAGTACGAAACTCGCGAGCAGAGCATATCACTTCAAAAACCCAGACTTCCGGCCATTGTGAAGTAAGTAATCTTGCGAAAGTTGACAAGTCTTGAGCAGGATTTGTAGGCATGTCGAGTCTAGCGTTGCTTCGTGGAAACAACTTGGGGTCCACAGCTGAAATTGCTTCTGCAGCATGGACGTCTTGGGCTTGCTGATGGAGCACCCTGTCAGCAGCGGATGTGCTGCTGCCGCTTGGACATCACGTTGGCCAGCAGAGAGGCATGTCGGAAGCGGATCGCATGCGGACCATACTGTAGATGCTTGTGTTCCCGAAGTGTCCGACGAGGTCTTAGGGAGGTTTGCTCGAATGCCTGGCGACCAATCCGAGAAAGTGCCGTTTGCCTCCAACGTCACTTGCATGTTTCCCTAATTGCTCAGTTCCGTTGAGTCGCAAAAGATTAGTTTGCTCAGTCTGAAGAACCCTCGGGGTCTTTCGGTGTTCCTTTCCATTGCGATCTGCATCGATTCACACATCCACTTGCTCAGCTGAATCAACACAAACCCGAACTCTGGATACAAGGCCACGCTGGCAGTGGCTCTTGCCACGGCCACACGCAAGCCTGAGCCCCCTGCTGAGGTCCGGCCAGGAGTTCAACGAACTTTCTTAAGCGTTCAGGGTACATGACGGCACCAGGCTGGCGTGGCTTCGGTTCCTCCATTCTACCCGTCATAGACAACACACCACCTCAACTCCCCTGAGCCTGAGCTACGTTGAGTAGCAAGTGTAGAGGTGGGGGTTGGCCAGACGATCTGTGCTGCAGTGGGCTCAGTGTCCCAAGCAAGTTTTGGCCACTCTTGGTGATAGCCTACAGCCTGCACTCTCCCAAGCAGCAAACGACAGGCTAGCTTAGCACGCAGTCGGCATGCAAATTCCATAACAAGGCACGGTGGAGAACACAGCAAACTCCAAGCCCAAATCTGTCACAGCGGGGAGGTGCAGGCAGCGGCAAAGGCCAAAGAGCCCTGGGAGTCACACGTGGTGTCGGCTCTTAGCGATCTCCAGGCTCGGGAGCCTGAAATTCCACGGGGCATGCATCGACTGCAGACTGCTTTCACGCATATCGCTTTTACTCGTGTCGTCATTGCAGGTACAGGTATGTGCCGTTGTGTTGCGCCAGCCAACGGTGCTGCTGCTGTCGTTGTTACAGCTGCCATCCTTGTCGTTATGTTCTTCATGTTTATTATTATTATTATTATTCGATCATGGCCAGGACTGAAGTTGCTGTTGTTAGTACTTACTACCGTTGTCGGCGATGGTTATTCTCATCGACTACATGTTCTGGGTAGGTGTATAGAGAGGTTGCGGACTTGTACGAATAGAAACAGGCGGAACCTACAGCTTGAATCGTGAACCCTCTTGTCAGACCCGAGAGCTTCGGCACGTTTTCTCCAGCTTCCACCATCTTCCAGCTTACTGTTGGAGGGGCTTGGTAATGGAGATTCACAACTCACCGCGTCAAGTTTACCTGGCATCCTTACAATCTCCTGAAGGTTCTCTCGACACCTCATCTGACCGCGTGAGCAATGAATTCTGACAAACCCCGAGGCCGTGCACCCCAAACAGGTTTGAACGAGCCTCGTCGATCCTCGTCATGGCCACCCTACTGTAGGCGCCTGAAATGGAGGGGTGCATATACCTAACATCTACTCCCGCTTTGCGTGGTTGCTGCATAATCTGAGTCTAGATGGAGATAATTGCAAGCCCCACGAATCTGCGCACCTGCGAGGAGATTTCGCCCGGCCGCTTGTGGCAAGTTTCCGCAAAGGGTGCCTCGGGCGGCCCACCGAAACTTGATTAAACAAGAGTGCTGGGGATTTGGGGGTTTTGATCTGGGGTTTCGGGGCAAAGCATGCAGGGCTTTGTGATATGCAGCCTTTTACGGCTTTACTTTGACTCACAGTGACAAGGAAGCAGGGAGAAGTCCAGATGCGTAAGAGGTTTTTCTGCTCTTAAAGCAGGTCGAGTATATTGGACTCACTCGAGACATGAGTCGGTAGCCTTTGGGGACCGTCGTATCTGAGGATGAGGAACATGACCCTCTATCGACCCGAAGGCTCTGGAGAGCTGGTGGTTTTCTCGGCTGTGGCATTGGAGGCCAGTTTGATGGAGCAGGCAGGAGCCAAGCATGCCCAGCATGAAGGGCATGTTTTCAGAAATTTCCCCGAGGTGTGTGCATTCAGGTGGGCGGGCGCAGTGGTCCTAATCCTGGAAGTGGGCGTACTGTAGCACGCGTGGTTTCAGCTGCAGCAACAGGATGCAACAGGAGCACTTGAAGGCTGAAGGAGAAGAAAGCAGAACGCAAAGGGGCAGCAGCAACAAGAAGTCATCCTGAAGCCATGGTGTACTAAAGTGTCCGCGGCGATGTCCCAGAGCTTCAGGTCGAGGCGTTGGGGCGGCCAGCAGTTCTGGTGGTTCCGAATGCTTATCATCGCGAAGATGCCGCAGTGTGGAAGGTGCTCGGATGGCTTCTGTCTGGAAGACTCTATAACGGAAATCTCTGTATGCCTTTGAAGTGTGAAAATTCCCCAGCTGTCGCATGAAACGAAAGCGAAAGTACAGTAAACTGCTGCACCGAGAAGCTCGACATTGCGCACGCTATCCAGTGTTGCATCTGGCAGGTTCTGTTGCAAGCTTTTGGGTAGGGCGCTGTCACGGTTTCACAGAGAGTCTGCTTGCACTACGTCTTCCAAAGCCGGTTTGCCCCCTGGTCTTCTCCCAGACCCTTCCCAAATTCCCAAGCCGACTATCCCGTAGCCTGACATCAAGCTGCACAGAATGCAAGGCACGGTACCCGGACTGCAAAGTCTGCGCCCCCCAGGGCAGTACATGGGTTCGCGAGCGCATCGCGAAGGCTTTCTGGTCGCAAGGACTGGAACTCCGTTGTAACCGAACTTCTGAGATGCATGGTGGACTGAAAGCTGGCACCACTTGGAAGCCTGCTCGACTAGTGGATGAGGCAAATCATACACGCAGAGTCTCCGCAGAGTAGCACGGGTTAAGTCAAGAGACCGTTGCAGGACGACGCACTTTTCAGGGATGAAGCTGCCTGCAATGCCTTATAAGGTCGTAGCCGTGGACTTCGATTCACGAGAATTGAGTCAGCGATACAGTGGTGCCATTGCAGTGGAGGCTTCCGAATGTGCGAGCCATTTTAAGCAACTACTTTGTGAGTCGTCTGCGGCTGCAGTGCCGAATCCTGGATAGGGCAGTGCACGCGCAGCATTTGGATGTCGCAACCTTGGATTCGGATCCTTGCAGGGTGCATGGTAGGGCAGTCACTGAGGTTGTAGTAGGATTTCGGGCTTTGGCATTCCATTGCTGGCACTGCAGCAGCTGCGATGGGACATTATGCGTGCTCTCTACTAGTCTACTCTTTCTTGACGCAGCATCGAGCGTACTCACTGCAGCTGGAGAGCTGCCACGGGGTCGTGCTGTCAGCAGTGGGGTTCGTGTTGCCACACCTGTTGTTGGTCATCATGAATTTAGGACAGAGGCTTAGAAGTTGCGAGGTTTTTCGGGTGTTAAACTCCTCACGCAAGGAGGTCTGGCCAAAAGACCTGAATGAACAGATTCTCCGACATGGGTTTGTTGTGTAGCCACGTGTGGCATAGGAACAAGCAGGCCAAGGCTAACTTTGCGGCTTGCGGCCACGTAGAATTGATCAGCTTTCACGTGGCCATTTTTGCGAAAGCCGCCCCGGCGAGTCTGATTGTGTTAGCCTGCCGCTTGCTTGTTTGCTGGGGCCTCGTAAGACATGCTGTCATCCCCAAGCGGATTCGACGAATGCTGCCTCAAGCATCCAACCAACCCTCCAGGCCATAGACGGGTGGAATCTGAACAGTGAAGAGGTCTTCGAGCTGCCAGACAGCACGTTTGACATACGGCTTGGCAATCTGCTGGTTCGGCAGATGTTCACGAAGTGAGGCCCACAGGTTTCCTGGTTCACCAGGCCCCTTAGCCAGCGGTGGTTTGGCTTCCTCTCAGACGCTGTAGCTC